GCCTGTGGGTTCTCAAAGAATTATATTTTGAAACACTTTTTTTTTGTTTCACAATCTTTGTGTATCTATTGACATTTAGAATCAACAATTACTGTATAGAGGTTACCTATGAAAAACAATTGCGTATCGGTGAGATATCACAAAGTTTGTATGTGTATCCGGGACACTGATATCATCGATTTGCACCATTCCAATTCCAGTCAAACTTTTTCTTTCCACTAAAAGTAAGCATTTTATAATTGATTGTTGTTTGGTAGAGTTTCGATAAGAAAAGAAGTTACTGAATGCTAATTAACGGCTTAACTTGTTTTTATGTTGTCGGTTGGGGTCGTATTAACAGATAAGTGTACAAATGTATTTGGGTCTCAAATAGTGGCGGCGCAAGTGGGGGTACAGGGGGGGAGGAGGGTGCTGCAGTTGTCCTTTTAGATAAAAATGGACTGCACCCCAATTGTACCCCAAATTTATTTTGAACAAATTTAACAATATGATTATTATACGTTTTTGCACCAAAATATGAGTCAGAATGCACAAAAGAATTGTCTCTATGAGAACTATTAGGCATCCTCGGAGTTGCCAAATTTGAAATTCAGTCTGGACAGTATTTCTATTCGCGCTGTTTTTACGCTGAATAAAATTGATCTCATTTTCTGAATAAGAAGTTGTTTATTATTAATATTATGTATATTTATTTGTAAATTTATGAGTTTTGTTTGATAATAAAAGATTACTTTGTTAATGTATCTTCCGGTGGCGACTTCAAGATTGGAGGAGGGGGAGGGGGGGGGGGAGGGAAGCCCCCTCCCAATGTACTCCATTGGGCCAATGAGGACGAACAAATTCATGCAATGTGCAATGAAGACGCCACGCATTGTGTTCTGAAGACGGGCGACGCCACGCATTGTGTTCTGAAGACGGAGCACACCATACAGTGTACATTTAGGGAAGTTTGGTAGGACAGTAGCATTATGCCGAATCTTTATCGGTTCCCAACTGTCGAAGAATCTTCAACGTGCACGGTTTACTGCATGGCGTTACACGTCATCAGTTGTTCCAGAAAATCTGGGAAAAATAAGCTTAGTTGAATGTGGAAATCTAGTCAATATAGAAATCGAGACTAGAAGTATGAACAATCTTGTCAATATAGTCGATACTAGAAGACTGGACAATCTAGTCAGTATAGTCAATACTAGAAGACTGGACAATCTAGTCAATAATTATTGCACAACCCCACACAATAAGTATATTATTGTTTAAAACTCAGTAGAGAGTGGGTCAGGCTTGGTCTAGTGGTTACTTCGTTAATAAACAATTCTATGTCATGGAATAAAACCCACACAATAGTGTAAGCACCACGGACGCTACCCTGATCTTTTAAGGCTTTGAATCCCCACCTCAACTGAGTCTCTGAGAGAAAAACACCAAGGCATAAGCAAGATTTAAAAAAAATATTATTTTCATTTATCTGTCTCTGAATAATCAAAAATAATAGCGAAATTTTAAATCTATTCATAATGCAATTTACTTAACTATCGTCTTGTCTAGATCACTATTTAACGGGAGATAACTCTCTTATAAACTACAGACTGCAGTTGAAGTATTTTAAATTTTTGTTTGCGATGAGGTTTAACTATTACAGTTCTGTATACTTATTATGGACAGTTATATTTATTGGAATGTTTGCGATCTACAGAGTAATCCTTCAACTGATATGATCCCTTATATCTGTTAATACATTTCATTTAAAGATGGGTTTCCTTATTTTTAAGTGTTTCTAATGAATTATCATGTATTCTTAATCATTATGTTCTTATTGCATATAATTAAGTGTTTTAACCAATCATAAGTGTCCATGTATGAACAGACTGGATAAATAAAAATAAAGACTCTTTGACCTTTCCTGATCGGTCACTCATTGATATTCTGTTGGTAATTCTCTTCTAATTCAGCCCATTTTGTGAAAATAAGGGAACCCATCTTCAAAAGACCGAGACCAAGAGTTTGCACATGCCGAGGTCGAATTTTTTCGAAGATTTCTAAATTTAAGTCATAACAAATTTATACTCAGAAAACTAATTGATTATAACCCTTCAATATAGTGCATTCATTCTCGACAAAAATAAAACGATAAAAACATTAAGATATATATATTTTTTTCTGTACAATATACAATATAGTAGTCGATTCTTGAAGTCTGGACAATCTAGTCAATATAGTCGATTCTTGAAGACTGGAAAATCTATTCAATATAGTCGTCGATACAAGAAGACTGGACAATCTAGTCAATATAGACGATATTTGAAGCCTGGATAATCTAGTCAATAGTTATTGCACAACCCCATACAATAAGTATATTATTGTTTAAAACTCAGTAGAGAGTGGGTCAGGCTTGGTCTAGTGGTTACTTCGTTAATAAACAATTCTTCGTCATGGAATAAAACCCACACAATAGTGTAAGCACCACGGACGCTACCCTGATCTTTTTTTACACAATGAATTACTACTCTAAAAGATAACCACTATTTCTGTTTAGGATAGATTACTAATTGTAGAATGCATGTCGACTTTTACAAAGTAATATGAACAAGTTTTTCCCCTTGGTACAAATTTTGATATCGTATTAAAGGAGCACCTTCACTATACTTTCGACCAATCATACCTTATTTTCAGAAACAGGAATTGTTTTAGTTTACATAATCAGTAATAGTGTTCACAGCTCATCGTCGAAACTTGAGCCTTCAATTCCATGTGTATCCATAATTATTCACATTTGAAATTCGACTCGAATATTAGTGAGACTATGCCATAAATAGAAAACACATATATAGGAATAGACAGTGAAATTTCTAGTTTGAGGTATATTTGTAGGGATTATGCGATTTTCATGCGTTTTAGTACTTCTTAAGACTATTAAAGCACAAATCAATCCCCGAAAATACCAACATCAATAATACATTGATTCAGAATCGACGACACAATAAAGTAACAATAATAGTTTTAAAGGAATACTACCTCTTAGAATGAACATAGACTTTGGATTTCCAAACTTGGCCAAAAATATTCAACTGAGGACCCACCTAGTGCCACAACTTTAGGGCTTATTATAGAATTCCTTTCCAACCCGATAAATCCATGAAACTAAGTACTAAGAAGTAGTATTTCTTTGAATAATTATCAAATAAAACCGGTATAGAGTTATTGTCATAAAGTCCATCGTCCATCTATCAACAGCACCTGGTCGCGGACAATCATCGCTTGTTTGCTACACGAAGTGAGGACCATATATATTACCTACAGCATTTCTTCGCTTAGTTTTTAAAAAGTTCCTGTTGATTTGCGAAAAGGAGAAATTTCTTTAGGGGATTCACCGTCAGGCTTCGTTGATAAATGACAGAAACGTTTCCGACAGATGGAACACAAAGAATCACTGGAATGTAGTTGAATTCCTTCACTGTATTTTGAAACCAAAACATTGTGTTCACCATTCTGTCCACTGGCAATTTCCTTCCACTTATCAGAGTTTGTGACTTGCAAAGGCTCGTCTTCCGTGATTGTAGACAATTTTGTATATTTTCTTTTCTCTGACATCGTTAGTAAGACTTATATCGGATGTATATTCATTCTCATATATAATCTCAAGTCTGATATAATAGTTTAGCTCATACCTTTTTAAGTGGTGTAGCTCTCTGATAATTGATTGACATCTTTCACAGTTTTCAGCATTGAAGTGGCAAAATCGCTACTTTTTCTTACCAATCGTACTTTAGTCTCAGAAACTTGATTTTTATTTAGCTATGCTAATGAGTAATAGTGTTAAATTCACGACTTGTCAAGAAATATCCACATTTGAAAGTTTAAAAGACGAGTCGTCTTTTCTTTAGACACTGTCATATATAGAAAAGACATATATGTATATAGAAATAGAACGCGAATGTCCAAGTTTGAGGTATATTTGAAGGAATTAAGCGATTTTCGTTCATTTTTAGTACTTCTCAAGAAGTACCAGTCCTGCCTCTAGAGCCTGGGCTAATATCCATAAGACAATATGTCCAAGTTTCTGATTGATGCTGGTTGTACCCCATACCAAATGCTTGCCGGCGATCTGCCTGTGCCCCTGGGGTGAATCTGCTATGCAAATGTTGCCACGGGATCAGTGGCGGCGCCAGCCTCTCGAGACTGGGGGTACAAATAGAAGGCAGATTGACACTATGGGGGTCAAATATCTATTTCCAAACGTTCAACTGCGCACCTGAGTGGCCTTTCACCAAGAAAATTGAATTGATTTGGTGCCTTCTGATACATTTTTTGAGTCAAAAACGTTAAAACATCATATTTTTTTATTTTATAGAAATGAAGTGCGTGCAATTGGGGGTCAAAAACACCTGACACCGTCACTGAAAACATGCTTTGAGATTGCTTATAGAGATATTCTGATTTACATCATTGACACCATTTCGATTTTACATCCGTTGGCTACAATGGTATTACCGATACTGACGTCGTCATCTCGTTATAAGTATTAGGCCTGACATTCTATGGAAAATCACATTGATACAAAAATACCGTAATTGCGTTCCCGGTTCAGTTATAAAACCTCTTTTAAATACCATTAAGGGTTTTATAATTTCAATCCGCATTAAAGATAACGACAAGTATAAGTATGAATGAAGCTTTAATATTCTTTAAAAGCTTACACATTGGACGAACACAAAATTGGTTTCAAAGCAGAAACCACATGGTTAACATAGTAATAAACATGTATGGTTTAATCAAATAAGTCATATTGTCGTCACAAAAAATAAAACAATTACCCCATTTCAACTACTTATCAATTTGATACATTGGCGGCCACGTTACATACTGGGGAGGGATTCAACCTGGGGATTTCTACGGGGACATACAACACCCCACCCCCACATATTTATGCTGTCCCGACTTTGAAGTAATTTCAAATACCCGACTTGTTCTCCTGGCCTAATGATTTCTAGAAACGCAACCAGGTTCAACATGGTGTATTCATATATAATTCAAGCATACAAAAGCATCGATACAAAAATAACGACTTGTTGCATCAAGTCAAGGATCTAAGAATTGTATTTCCCGTGGAACGAGTCTTCAGACAGGTTGTTCAGATCTAATATTCGTCGCCTTCTTCACCATCATCATCGGCCTCGACATTAGAATCCATTCCAACTTCTTCATAGTCTTTCTCTAAAGCAGCCAAATCTTCCCTAGCTTCAGCAAACTCACCTTCTTCCATGCCTAATAACAATATAAGGTTTGTACATCAATATTTGATTTGAGTTCAATTGACAATGATCTTACAGCCTATAGATATTTGTGATTGTAAATTTAGACCATATTCCCAACCTTTCCTCGGCAAACAAAACGACACAACGAGTGATTTGTTTTGATTGGCTGAAATTTGCTACCAATACAGTAGGGCCAATTTTGATTGGACAAAAATTAGCTATGAATAGTATGACGAATTGATTTGTGGTTTAGACATGATGGCGAGTGTGTTACATAATGGAATTAGGCTGACAACACTTAAAAGTTGCATCAATTGGTCGAGAAAGTATACATCGACCAATACAATTTAGTGACGGGAAAATAGTGTTACTGTATCAAGGTCTAGATGTCGACTCGCACGGAATCATCTCGACCAGTACAATATGTCCTAATAATCCATAAGGACTGTGGTCGTCGGTTCCAAAGCATCGGATTCAATGCAGTCAACATGAGCGAAATTCTCCTATCAAAAATTGACCGTCAGTGGCTGAGCGGAGCTGATTCGACTTCCGTTTGCCCAATCGTACTTTAGCCTGACAAACTGGAATTTTTTAGCTAAGCAAATCAGTAATAGTGTTCACAGCTCAAAGTCGAAATTTGAGACTTCTAATCCATGTGTTTCCAGAATTATCCGCGTTTGAAAGTGAAAAAGACGACTTGTCTTTTCCTGAGACTGCCATATAGAAATTATTTTTATAGAAATTCCTAGTTTGAGGTGATTTTGAATGTGCGATTTTCATATATTTCTAGTACTTCTGAAGATTAATTACATATGGAAAGACCCAAAATCAACCCCCGAAAATGGCGAATCTTGCCATTAGACAATTGGTTTCCATCCCAATGCGTAATTATTATGATTTCATACATACCTTCACCAACATACCAATGTACAAAGGCTCTCTTGGAATACATCAGATCGAATTTATGATCAAGACGAGCCCAAGCTTCGGCAATAGCAGTAGTGTTACTTAACATACAGACAGCTCTTTGGACTTGAGCTAGGTCGGCCCCTGAAACATACAAAAAATCACTTTCAACAAAATACCAAATTCCAACCCCCCAGGAACTAGCATCCATTGTTTGCAGTCTTTCTGTCGAGGACTCTGAATGGCTGTATTTGCTAGTGTAAAATCTAATCAAATCACTGTACACGAATTTACACACTTCCGTGATACAAGATAAGTACCTAATGATGTCAAGGTATCAGACAGAGGTCGAATATCTTGACATTGTGAAGATGAATAGCTAAGTACCCTTATGGCTTCCGTGAACTGTAGGCCTACTGAGACAATGATATTTTTTGTGGTCATCTTGAGGTATAATGTATGAAAATTCCAATTAAGGATGTATGGGTTATGGCCATTAATTTGGTCAAATTCTATCAAATCAGTTTCTATACATGGTATAAGCTCAGGTTTCCATTCATTTTGAATGAATTGGAGTATGATTAAATGCTAATACTTATATGAATAGAAAGTAGAGGTGTTCTAATGACTTAGAAAAATACCAGTTTGTCTCACATGTCCATAATTAATTCATAATTAGCTCAATTGGAAGCAGAATTCCGATCAAGAAAGGTCAAAAAGTATTTTTTTGTTTATCCAGACTGTACATACATGGACATTTATGATTGGTTAAAACTCATAATTATATGCAACAAAAGCATAATGATATGATTAAGAATACGTGATACTTCATTAGAAACACCAATTAATCAAATAGTTTGCTTAATTTGACACTAAAAAATAAGGAAATCCATCTTTAATGGTTCAGCTTTGTATAGATACCAAAAACATTATGGAAAATTTGGCTTTCGCTTTGGTAAAATGATCTAAAAGTTGGTCGAAGCAACTCCCATAAAGTATGACATTTTATGTCTGGGTCTAAATGTGGCGATATTCCATGTGTATATCATGTTGAAGGAAGGATTAGAGTCAGATTTGTCGGAGAAGGATAAGTTAATGAACGAGGTGTACCGTAAATACCTGGAACTACAGTGGGTGGTTGGTAGTTGATACCAACTTTAAATCCTGTTGGACACCAATCCACAAACTGTATTGATCTCTTAGTCTTGATGGTAGCAATGGCAGAGTTTACATCCTTGGGGACAACGTCACCTCGATACAACATACAGCAAGCCATGTATTTACCATTTCTCGGGTCACATTTAACCATCTGGTTACAAGGTTCAAAACAGGCATTGGTGATTTCAGCTACCGACATTTGTTCATGATAGGCTTTTTCAGCTAAATGTAAAAATTGAATACTCAATAAAAATAGCATTTTATCAGGAGAGCCAACTTAAGTTTTAAAGGGACAGAAGTGCCATTTTTTTTAGGAAGGGGGGGGTGGGGGGGGGGGGTTGATTTTAGTCTTGAATATATGTAAATAGTCTTCACAAGTCCTAGAAGTGTACGAAAATCATATAATTCCATTAAAGATACTTCAAACTAGGAATTTTACTCACTATTTCTATATATGTCTTTTCTATATATCACAGAGTATCTTAAATTGACGAGTCGTCATGTTAACATTCAAACGCAGATAATTCTGGACACACATGGATTTGAAGGCTCAAATTTTGATGGTGAGCTGTAAACACTATTACTGATTAGCTCAGCCAAAAAATTCAAGTTTCTGAGACTAAAGTATGATTGGTCACAAAATGCCCTACCTATCCCTCTAAGCTATTTAGCTGTGGTCAGAAAGGGAACAACTATGATATAAGCCATTTCTTTTCTAATAAGAACTGTCGTCAAAGATTATGCACAGTAAATGCAGTAACTAATGTTCTCGGTGGTTAAAAGTGTAATGTTATAGGGTGTGTATAGCTCGGATTTATCTCAAATTTTCAATGAGGGCCATTGTAAAGCTTCTAAAATAGAAAATGCCAAAAAGGAATATTTGTAACTTTTTTTCTTCAAAATAAATCACTTATGAATCTGGCATATCCTGTAGATCCCTGGTTCCCAACCTGGTGTGTTTTCACCTCCTGGGGTGTGGGACTAGGGTGTCAGGGGTGTGACCAACTAGTGTAGGAGAAAAATTTATTTTGCGTTGAGAAAGCAATGCTGCAAATGTGTATGAAACAAATTTTTGGGGTGTGAAGGCTGAAATAGGATGGGAACCACTGCTGAAAAGGTTTTTCAATTTAGATAGATCGAGCTTCGAACTTTACTTCAAAGATGAACTCTTACCAGAAATGATCGGTGCATACGTCACGAGTGGAAAATGAACTCTTGGGTAAGGTACAAGATTGGTCTGAAATTCTGTTAAATCGACATTAAGGGCACCATCAAATCGTAAAGAAGCGGTAATGGAGCTGACTATTTGACCAATCAAGCGGTTGAGGTTAGTGTAGGACGGCCGTTCAATATCCAGATTACGTCGACAAATATCATAGATGGCTTCATTATCCACCATGAAAGCACAATCAGAATGTTCTAATGTGGTATGGGTAGTTAGGATCGAGTTGTAAGGTTCAACTACTGCCGTGGAAATCTTGAAAAGAAAGGACGTATGAATCAGCTTCATGTTAAGATTTCTTGCCTCTTAGTTTATTAAATTAGGGTCTAAAGTCACATTGAGTGACACGTGCAGGAATTCTGCAATGCCACGCTATGAGATTGAAGTGAATTAGCACGAAGAGTGTGAAAAGGATGCGGATGTCATGTCGTTAAGAGAATTGCGAAATGAAGCTTGAGCAAAAATTCGGCGCAAATACTTGACTGCTGACGTGTGAACAATACTTAAACTATGTGTTATCAAGTAGTACTAGTGTTAATGTCAAACAGTGCCAATGCGACCAATTTCTTGCGTTATAGAGTTAGTTACAGTGCGTAGACAGCCATGGATGTTCGCAATCAGTTTGGAAAAAGCTCTGTGATTAATCCAACTCTTATAGTTTACCTGTGGTGCAGGATAGACAGCAAATTCTAATTTACTTTTCTTCCCATAATCCACCGATAATCGCTCCATTAGAAGTGATGAAAAACCACTTCCGGTACCTCCACCAAAGCTGTGGAAAACTAGAAATCCTTGAAGTCCTGTACATTGGTCCGCCTAAATACAAAGTGATAGAAACATTGGCCCTGTGGATTAGACTTCAAACTATGAATGCTGATCCCTATAGGCTATAAATCGTAAGTTGGAATGAACCAGTCTTTTTAAATGAAATGAACGGATCTTTCTGCACCATGTGGACTAATGAAGACGGGCAACGTCATGCAGAGTGCGATGAGTGAAATTTTGCCAGGACAGCGACATTAACCTGCTTTTTTCGATTTCCAACATGTCGATGGATCTTTAATGTGCACAAAACTGGGTTGATAAATCCTAAGGTATCATCTCGACCTATGCCGGGATTAAACTCTGGACCTTCAGGTTAGTGAACACGCGTCTAACTCACTGAGACACAGCGGCTCCCTACCCGTATTTTTGAGAAATACGTACCATTTTTCTGATACGATCTAAGACTAAGTCCACAATTTCTTTGCCTACAGTGTAATGGCCTCTAGCATAGTTATTAGCAGCATCTTCTTTACCACTTATCAACTGTTCAGGATGGAAGAGCTGTCTGTACTTTCCATTTCTTACTTCATCTACAAGAGATAGAGACATGTCAAAACAATATTATCATCTTTATGGACTATCTGTGGATTCTTAGATGAAAAACCCAGTCGAATAATGGCATAAGGTCTTCTAGAAGGTGGAGAAACTGATGGATTCTAAGGTGACGATCTCCGTCGAGTAGTGGTACTATGCGTTCCAGAATGTTGTACATGTTTTATACCTTGGCCTTGACCTTTACAGACTTTCTGTCGAGGGTTCTATAATCGTCTGTTCAATGAAATCACTGCATTACAAACTTCTTCATATAAGAAAAGAGTCCAATAAAGTCATGTTTAAGACCGAGTTCACTTAAAGTGAAGCAACCCAAGGAAACTCAACGAAAAAATACTTGTAAGTTGGGTCCTTATACTTAATATCATATTTGGGTTTGGCCCATGGCTCTCCCCTCAAGACTGTGAAAGGTTTTATTTGAAGTGAAAATGAAGCTCTTCAATTGCTCAAAATTAAAATCGGACCATCTGAAATCCGTTGATTCTTGGGGGGCCCCCGGCAGTCCTCAGTCCCCAACCTCAATGGACTTGGGTTCTTTAGACCTCGCCTCAGATGGGCACCTCTAATTTGTAACCTTCCCCTCAGGCATTTTCTAGATACTCACCTACAACATTGGCTTCTAGATCAATATAGACGGCTCGTGGAACATGTTTACCATGGCTAGTTTCACTGAAGAATGTATTAAACGATTCATCACCATTAGACATCATCATCTTCTCATATTCCATATTGCCATCAGGGTGTATATTGTGTTCTAAACAGTACAACTCCCAACAGGCATTACCGATCTGAACACCAGCTTGACCAACATGGATAGATATACACTCTCTCTGAAATGACATAACAACATGGATAGATATACACTCTCTCTGAAATGACATAACAACATGGATAGATATACACTCTCTCTGAAATGATATAATAACAACATGGATAGATATACACTCTCTCTGAAATGATATAATAACAACATGGATAGATATACACTCTCTCTGAAATGACATAACAATCCCATGCAGTGTGAAATGAGGTTAATTTCGCCCGGACAGCGGCATTAACCTAATGTTACTGGAGTATCTTTAACTTGAACAGCCTGTAACACATGGGGCCTCAGAATATTATCAAATCCAAACGACAGGACGATTTTACCATAACAGAGGAAAACCTGGTTGAGAAATCCAAAAATCTC